CACCAAGGTTCGAACCCAGGATCTCCTGGTTACAAGGTGAGCTCGTAGACCATTGAGCCACTGGACGTGACAGTCCAATGGCCAGTTCATGAATTTCAACTTCTACTGATTCATGAAATTATGCGGCCACTTCGCTATCCCTTTTTCCATGAGTTACTACCTCACCTTCAACATGCTGTACCCTACTAATCACGGCTTCCCACATAAACATCAGGTGATCTTTTATCGGCACATTTTCATTAACATTATCATTAGTGTGAGTACCCTGAAAACTTCCCCCCACCTCACCTCCTTGCTGTGCATTGTTAAGAGAAAATTAGGTAGATCATTGTATTGATTGGTGAAAATTCCACTTTTTTAAATGTACCGTTTGAAATAAATCCATTATTATCATCATCAATTGGTTCTCTTTGGTATTATGTGCTACCTCTGGTACCTCAAGGTCATCCTACCATCCCACTGATGTTTATCCGAAACTTTAGAGCCTATAAGGCGACAGTTTTGTAAGCACTCTCCCGCGATACTTCTGAATTTGTTGACTGTCTAAAAGATTTGAATGTAAACGACAAACGTTATCACTGAATGTGCAGTCACTATTTACCAACGTGCCCCTCACAGAAACGATTTGTTATTTGAGCAGATACATAAGTGACACGATTATGAGCATCAGAATATAAACCTCATGTCTAAGAGTTGCTGTTGAGATGAACATTTAACATACAATTCACCTTTAAGGACGATGCTTACAGACAGAAAGATGGAATTACCAAGGGCTCTCCTGTTGACCCACTTTTGGCAGAAAGCCTAATGGGATATCAAAATCAATAATCGGCAAACCGTTGTTGAAGAAAATGGTATGTCGACGACACCTTTGAAGTTTGTGATAATGATTCAGATTTCAATAACAATTGCCACCATTCAATTAAATCCACGATGGAATTAAAAAATGAATCCAAGATTTCATTTTTTTCTGGATGTAGGACTGAAAAGCGATGATAGGACTCTGAAAAGATCTATCCACAGAAAATCATTAGGCAATGGGCAACTTACAAACTTTTATCGATCGATAGCTGGAAGTCATACAAGGACTTTCATCGTTTCACTTGCTCATCTTATTAAACGAATCTGCGACACTGAACGCTTAGAAGAATAGCTCTTATTTTTCAAAGATATTCTGGCTCGAAACGGATATCTGTCACGTTTTGTGAAGCCGGGAGATGAAGGTAGTTCAGCGCCAAAGAAAATAAGGTATACGAACCTGGGCTTCAAGGGCAGATATCTTAAGGGGAAGAGTTTCTAACTGCCTTTCCTGCAGCAACATTAAGGATAATATTCTTTAGCCGCCAGCTGCATTTAGGCAGTGTGGGAAATACAAACTCCCACATATGACTACTCGAATGTGCATATATCACTTCACTTGCTCCTGTGAAGCTGGGTACATAATTCGTTCTGTACACCTCCTTTCAAATCGTGTTAGAGAACACTACCCAGTATGACTGAAATAGGCAGCACTGGTTCATTCTCAAGCGCTATCACTGAACACCTTGTGAGCACCTGTCACAGAATCTCAACACTAACTCATCATTCAGAGTCATTTACAAAGTGAACAAAAATTTGTAAAAGGCAATGACTGTTCGAATTCTTTGCCATGTGTATCGAAAAGCTGAAACTACACGTTCAGAAGAAACCCCAGTCCAATCTCTGCATTCATCACGGATCTAGCTTGGTCTGACTCCTTAGTATTCGCCCTTTTTTTTCTTATTCCCTTGATTTGTTCATCTTCAGTTCCAAAAAACTATTATTTCAATTGGTTTCTATGCCAATTTCGTTCACACCCGTCTCCATCAAAAAAATATTTTACACAATACGCAACACGTTTTTGTAATCGTATGTTTATTTTTGTTCCACATCTTCCGACTTTCATATCAATTTAAAAATCACTATCACCCTTAACCTCCCTTCTTTACCATCTTAAATTAAATAGTAGTTACAATCATGTAAACTTATGTATAAAAATCCGAATACACAGCTTCTGGTTGTTTCTTTTCTTATGAGTTTAACTACGAACGTCCCATTGTCTTTCTGGACAACATCTTCAGTGCTAACTTCAATAAGCTGAGAAGTATTCAAAGCTCCATATGGATGAAATATCCTCCTTAACTGGTGGAAATTAAAGTCGATTACTTGTGTCTGGAAATCATAGTCAAGTTCACCAGAAAAGATGGAAATTTTATCCTTGGAGTGAATAAATTTTCCCCCTATGCAGATATATTCATTTTTATCAATGAATATCAGCAGTTCGCTCTTTCCAAATATCTTATACACAGTCCATTTACATGGTACTTATATTTATGTAAGTGCTCAAGTCTTCACTATACATATATAGTCTACATACGCTAAGATAATCTCTGCATGATATTCATCTTAGCATTCAATGTTATCAATCATCTGTACGTAACCATCATACTACTCTGAAATTTGTCAGTAGTTAAAAGATGTTTACCAAATAAATTATGCATATCAAAAACCAAGGCTTTCAGTAATTCAAATAATTTAGTACAAGCCATTCTGTTAGATGATTGGAGACAATCTGTAGAAAGCCCTGGAACACCTAGATTTCTTACTAACCGGCGTTCATCAGTCAATAAGCTATACCTGCAACCTTCAAGTAACTCATGTATCCTCCGAGACTCGAACCCGTGTGGACTGCAGTTAGTTACGTTACAGATGAGGTATTCGGGATAGAGACTGACCTCTTGTAGGCCTGCAGTGAATACTTTCATTGGAAGGTAGTTATCAATTAGTGCAATGTGTCTTGTCCTTTGTTTGTGTAGACTGAATTCTACAAGGAGGTCAACTACGAGCCTGAATATCTGCTCAATGGTAACGTCTGTGATTCACTGCAGCACACTGAGTGACACAGCTTCGAATCTCAGAAGAGACACGAAATCTTTCAAGATTGCAGATACGCCTTGCTGATGAGTGCCAAATAGCAAGAAATCTAAGTCCAAGGCTTCCTGTGGCCGATTGCCTCCAACCATCTATTACCAACAGTTCACAGTGCAATGTGACGGGTGAGCCACCTACTGGCATGGTGATGGCCACATTGAAAACTTGACTGATAGAATTCAGTCTACAGAAAAACAAAACAGTGGATGGATTACACTAGTTTCTAACTAGTATCCAGTCGAAGTACAAAATACACTTCAAGGAAATTATATTTTTTTTAAAGTTTTTCGGCTGCAGAGGCACACATAAAATCAATTTAACTAAAGGAGCAAATATACAAATCTCCCTTGATTCATATTTGGAGAAATAAAAACAAACAGCAGTCAATAATAAATTGACAGCAAAACCTGTTTTAACTCTAGTTTCGTGTTTATTTACACTCTTGCCATCAATGACTTATATGCGACTGTTGAAAACAAACTCTCCACTGTCGTCAAAATATCTCAATCACTTTGTAGATCAATGTTAACTGGTTTATTACAGAATAATATAGACAAATCGGTGTTCACAACTGCCAATATAACAGAGAAGATTTTTAACTCAGGTGGATGATTTGGGTTCAGTTGTGTTCTCTGAGCTGGTTGGTTTTATTGCAAAGCTTCGGCGTCCTTCTAGACAATATCTTCAGCGCACTTAATTAGTGAATGGTGACTAGCAGTGGGATCCAGGATAAAGCGCATTTTGTCGTATTTGGGACTGTAAGTCACTGGATGTACCTGCATTGTGCAGTGAGTGATGATGTTCCCACCGAGGCTCGAACCAAGTGCCCGTAGTTTCAAACGCCAAAGGGTTATCCACTAGGACCATGACAGCTACTGTCTCTTGTGCAACGGGTCATATTAATTTAATTGAATTTCAGATTTACCCGTCGATTGATTGGACCGAAATGCTCGGTCTCAGGTTGACGTTTCGACATCTTGTGCAGATGCTTCGATGCTGTCTGGGCATTTTATTAGTATTTAATTGGTGGATGGTGATTAGCAGTGGAATCTAAGATGCGCATCGTCGAAGCATCTGCACAAGAAGCCGATATGTCAACCTGAGACCAAGCACTTCGGTCCAATCAATCGATGGGAAAATCTGAAATTCAATTAAATCTTCAGAGCAAGTTTTAGTATAAAATGAAGTGATTTGAATTCTCCATGAATGATAGAATTATGTCTCCTGGTAACCATCTTCGTGACTGGTAGTCGATTTGTGTGCAGTTGTGTTCTCTGTGCTGGTGGATGGTTTATTTGCGAAGCTTTCATTGCCTTACCAGGCAACATTTTCGATGCATACTTCAATTTGAAGTCAGCTTTTACGTTTCTCCGAGTTTATAAATCATCTCGTCCGGTAACCTTGAACGTGATTGGTCGTTTTTGTGTGTTTTCTCCAATCATGCTCAAGGATAGACGGTCAATAAACTCGTGGAGAATTATAAGAGGTCACTTCAAATTGAAGCATGCGATGATGATTTTGCCGAGTAAGGCAAAGAAAGCTTCGCAAATAAACCATCCAACTCAGAGAAACAATTGTTAATATAACTATAAAAACCTTAGTACCGAACAAGTACTCTCCAGTCTAGTTGGGAGGCTAAAGTAGTCACACTATCTCTAGGTCAATCTATTCTTGACCAATAGAATTTCAACCTTTTGTGCTAAATTATAGCAATCTGCATGTTGGTGAGATAGTTATCAGAAAGCCTGCAAAAAGAAATAAAGGGTGAGGGTTGATGATACTATCTCAGTTGACTTGCAAGACGTAGGTGGCACAGCATCCCAACTTCGAAATAAATGACTAAAAGTCATGTCCGTAAATCGATAACCTACAGTTTTTCTCCATGACCAGTAGTCCACTTGGCCACACTTTCAACTATTCAATCGAAGTGTCAAATAGTCATCACCCCATTTTAATATTATCGATTGTTTATACCAAATTAATACAGTGACGAAGACAACAGCAGTCGCCATTGGGAAGATTAACTCATTTTGGAAAACAGACTTTATCAAATTAGAGAACAAGTGAAATTCGAGAAACAGCATATCACGTAGTGGTTTGTTGAATGTCTTCGGCCCCGGGAGAAAAGCAGTCAGATTTAATTCTGTAACACATTACTCTTCACGAGTTCGACCACAGATTGATATCAGTTAGAGAACCATTGAAAACCAGCGCTGGAGTAGTGGACAGCTATTTCATCGTAGTTCGTGAATCATCAGCAGTACGCACCCACGACCTTCCAGTTACAAGGCAACCTGGCTCGTATACCATTCAGTCCTTTGGATATTACTCTTCAACCAAATCTACCACTGTCTTCGAATCCTCCCCCACTTGACAAGTCCAACAGGTGACGAAATCTCTGTTAAAACACTCAATTCTTCCGTTTGACTTTATTAGTATTTACACGACCCACTCCCATCCAAAAGAAAGAAAACAACAGCTACTATACACTTCTCTAAACTCATTCTTTTTTCAAAACTGAAAATGTGAACAAGAAGTCAAGAAAATTAGGAGAGCAAAACAAAAAAACAAATTCACATAAATAAATCAAGGAACATAATGCATAAACACATAAATATTTGTATACATCTAAAAAAAAATTCCGAGAAAAATTATGATATCACATTTAAAAATTTCGACAAAAGTGAGAAAAATAAAATAAAAGTTAAAAGACGCGCACAAACTCAAGGTCAAGTCAGAGCTGACCAGTTAAAAAAAACGCCGATGATGCACGAAATGTGAAAAAACACATTCATTGAAACATTGAAGTGTTCAAAATTAAATAATACTAAGGAATATATAGAAATATGATCAATACATTGGTGAATACGGAAGAAGTGACTGAAAATAAAAGCATAGCATCATAAAAGAAAAAAACGCCATATGATACAATGAAATTCAACGTGTCAATACAAACAAATATTAGAGAAAAGCAATATTGTAGACAGAATAGATCACAAATAAAATAGTATATCTTACTAAAGATAGAAAATAGAGCAAGAAAGGTTAAAATAGGGGGTGATAACTAAATAGAAATTGAGATTCTATAAAACTGTGGCATCGTTGGTACTGTATGTTTGTTGTGTTGCACTCTCACACAATTCTTCCCAGAAAAGGACAGCGAAGGTGAGAGCAGGAATTCATAAAGATAAAACAGAGAAGTAAAAGCACTAGGTTATTATGTTGAAATTAACACTGGCCACGTTTGTGTGTATGTGTCCCTGTTTGGAATTCATAGGATGAAAGTGAAAATGTTTTTTAAAATATCTCAAACTACTTAAATATTTGAAATCAGTAGTATATAGATATCAACTCAGTATTTGTTGGTTTGTCAGTTCAGTAATAAATTATTCATTTTTTTTAAATAAAAAAAAGAGCTGATAATTTAAGAAAATAATTAAAATAAAATAATTTAAATTAATTAAATTATTTTCTGTGAATTTGGATAGCGCTCATGTCAAATCAGTAGTAATATGATGATCAGACGACAATATAGAAGAGAATGTGATAAGAGAGGTAATTGAAACTTTTGAAAAAAGAAGGTATGTATATCTATAAATGACCGATATGCATTCGACTCCTGCCTTTGCACACATCTACACACAGACGCACACATCCAACACATGAGAAGTCACCTAGATAAAATGATGGGAAAGAAAAAGTAGCAATGAAATTGTTTTCATGATGTCATTACAATAAAAGAGAAATTGATTAGTAAAAGGATTGAACAGAGTGTGTAGTACTGAACTCACCTGAAACTTTTCAACAATCGTATGAATTGAACACTATATGCATCTGTTGGATGGTGACTAGCAGTGGAATCCAGGATAACGCGCATTTCACCCTCCTATTTGGGAATGACTCGTCAGCTGGGCGTATCTGCACATCCCAGTGAGTTAGTCAGTGATGGTGTTCACCCCACATGGGCTCGAACCCGATATCCATCATTGCCAAATCCAAAGCGTTATTCACTAGACGACTTGATTTAAGAGAGGCATCTCTTGTGCAACGCGTATCAGTTATTAACGATGGGTAGTGGATAACAGCCTCACTGGGGGGGGTGGGGGGGAAGGGACACCATCACTGACTCACCAGGGAATGTAGGTACATCCAGATAAGAGGAGTTTCCAATAGGATGGAAAGCGCGCTATCCTGGATTCCACTGCTAGTCACCATCTACCAAATTTCTTCAAGTTACGTAATCAGACATCGTTGAAGCATCCACCCAAGGAGGAACTGACATGTCAACCTGAGGTCGAAAACTTTAGTTCAATCAGTCGACGGGAAAGTTCAGAACGAATTATATAATGAACACTGCCACGTTTTATGGTTGAGTGCATTTCTATCTAAACAAAGTATCACAATCAACAATTAATGTCATTGATCAATAATTATTTACAGAAACCAGGTGGGTCATAGGTTCTTGTAAAAGGATCTATTTCAAAGATTTGTGGAAGATTTACAGCAAAGAATTTTTATTGTTTACAGGATTTCATCATGAGCTGACATTAGTTGGAGAACCATTGGAAAGCCAGTCAGGGAGTACTGGACAGCTGTTTCGTCCTAGTTTGAGACTCGTCATCAGTACGCACCCACGGGGGTTCGAGCCCAGGACCTTCTGGTTACAAGGCGAGCTCGTAAACCATTAAGCAACCGGGACACCTGATTCAATGGACCCAATGGCTTTGCAAATATTATCAAAGATATTGATTTAAGTATTTCCAGTCGATGATATAACACCGAAAAGTACACAAAATCTAAAGAGAACTAGACAGGTTACTTTCATAAATGCTTTTTAGAACTGGCGAACAGTGAAACCAGCTTATGTCATAAAAGATGAAGAGCAATTACTCCTCTATGAGACTGGAAGAGGAAAATTCCATTTAATCCACAAGAATAATTCATGAATAATCCCCAGTCAGATATTAGTGAAAACAAAGCACGTAGAATTCAGCAAGGAGTCTCTTTACGCCAGCGAATTCATTCACTTAGCTGTACACAGTTGCGATTTGAAATATAGTTACCTTTGTATGTGTGTGTGTGTGTACATTAAGTTTGTCAGACAACAATAAAAATTAGTTAAGGAGTTAGAAAAACGAAAACAAACCATGATAGTAAAGGTGAGTGAATAATATTCTTTTGTAAGAATAACTCCAGTTCCTTCGTCTGAATGGCTAAAACTTCAGTAAGGCACAGGAGACGAAAGCGTATTTACAGTCATTAACAGGTTGTTCTTCACTTTGTAGATTGCTTTGAAGTAACAGGCGTTGTTTGTTGAGATGGAATGACCAGTAATGACAAGATGTTCGATTATCCCACTCCTTATAGAGCCACTACTACTACCTTCCTGCAACCATGAACACCCTTTCAGATGTCGAGCGACTAATGCACATAGCTCCACAACAACAGGTGAACTGATAAACACACATAGAAGTGGTGAGATACGAGGTCTTGTTTTTAAGGCTTCTGTAGACCAATGGATAACTGGAGAACACTACTCTGAGCGTTGCTTCAATGAATATTCTTCTCAAGGATGCTGAAATTTATCTTTTAAGTATATCCGCACCCTAAGTCTCCTTTAAAATCCAAGTTCGTGTCAGGTCTCTTTTTTTGGAACAAGTAAATGACGTGAACATTATGGTGCAAGCCTACCTCTTCATCAATGTACAATGTGAAAGCCGCCCAGTTCTCTGCAGCTATCACTAAACTTATGATAAAAGTAACAACCTTCACTCACATATAAGACGATAGTAAAATATACAAGAAAAGGATGATTTCTTAAAATCATCACGAAATCCTCCATGCAATCAAAAAAACTCCCTACAAAAACCGATACTTGAAAAGTGATTTGATGCTCACGAGCGACTGGCCATCTTCAAGCAGTTACTTTGCGTTCTAGTGGGAAACTATTACCATTAGGGTAAAGCAGGTTGAAGGTGAGGCGGTAACTCATCCAAAAAGGCATTGCGAAGTGGTCGTGATGTGTCATGGACTGGCAGAAGTTAGAATTCTTGGACTGGCCATTGAATCGGTTGTCGGTGGAGAGCATTCTACCGGTGAATAATGACCGGTGCATGCGAACTAGTCAATAACACAGTGAACATTTAGGATAAACATTCGGAACTACTTACAAACTATGAAAGTAGACTGAACACGTTTTTAAACAAAATAAATATGATACTAGACAACAATTCAGGATAGAAAATTCATTCCGCATGATTCAACTTAATTTTGTGTGGGATGAAATCTGATCAGAACAAAATCTCTTAATAATTTAGAGTTGTATCAACCAAGGGAAAGTTTTTCCTGATAACACACACTATGGGTCAAAAAATATATACGAAGAAAAATCACAAGAACACATAACGTTTTTGAATTGAATTTTTCTTGCAGTGTTTGGGTTTTATGGGGACGTTCATGGGCTTTCGTTTTCTTCCATCTCTTTCAATAAATAAACAGTATGTGGTTAAAAACATTACGAATACTTATCAACGCATTAATGGGTGTCAAAACAAGACCAATAACTCCCATATATATATATATATATATATATATATAACACTTAAGCCTACGATCCTCTAATGTTTGGCATACAAGGAGTGAACTGGACTACATCGACTGACTCCTAGCTTAAAATTGACGAGGGAGTGAAGTAGTTCGCGTGGAGCGTGTTAACCACTACACTTATATGGAAAGTTGCACCATCCCCATCAACAGGTTGATCGCTGACAAAATCTCAGTACGAATACACAAGACTGCTTTAGCATCTCCCAACAACTTAACTCCATCTCTGATTTTTCTTAGTAGACGTGATATCCGGCTGACTATCGATTAAAGGAGGTGTGTACTGCTCAGAAATCACTTTGTTCCATCCTCCTGTATGGTTGGCTGTGAGTGAGACATAAGCCCCATTGAAAGTGGAAGACATAAAAAAAAAGTCTGGTTAGCTAGCTGTCTTTCATCGTAGGTGCCTACGTTCTATCTCCTGTGTGTGTGTTAGGTGGAATAATAGGCTGGGTGAGTAATACTAAGATTGGACTTCGGTCGAGGTGCTACGTAAGGAGGGAAAATTAATCAACGAAGTTGTCAAGTTGTATCAATTGAGAAAGATGGCTGGCACATGTGTTACGCATACCTAGTCTAGCCTAGACATCGATCTTCTTCCTTGATAACAGGCAATGTTAGATGACTGACATAAGATGGATCAGCTAGTAAAAGAGCTAGCACGTGGTGTTCAGACAAAAGTATGACTTCATCAGTCAGTGAAATCCATAAGAATTAGTCTAAGCCAACCAGCCAGCCAGCCAGCCACGTAGGGAGGGAAGTGTAGACTGCCTGACTGCCAGTGTGGTTGGGGTCCTCAGGATACTTGTTAACTCTCTTCTCTCGCTTTGTGTACTACATGGAAGGAGAGTGACACCTTGAACTAATGTACTTCTGTGCAGAGTTCTGTGTTGAAACCAATCAGTCATTCAGTCAAATTTCAACGTAAAGCATACATATATACATATACAGAGAAACAAATTGCTTTTCACTCTTATGTATGCACAGCTCCGGGTTTCTATTTGAATGGCCAGAGCTTCAGCGATACAAAGAAGACGAAATCGTATTGTCTTTGGTAGGTTATTCTTCACTCTGTAGATCACTTTGAAGCAAGAGGCATTTGTTGAAATGGAATGATCAGTGTTAACCACGTAGGTGTTCAGTTATCGCACTCCTTATTGCACCACACTATTGCATTTTCGCAACCATGCTGGCTGGATAGTGTTTTTGAATCCTCTTGAACAGGGTGCGTGTCGAACGACCAATGTACCTGGCTCCACAACAGCAGGTGAACTGATATATGCACATAGAAGTGGTCAGCTGCAGAATCTTGTCCTTGAGGCTTCTGAAGATCAGTGGGTGACTGGAGAACACTATTCTTAGCGTTGCTGCGCTTAAACAAGATTCGCCTATCGATATAAAAACACTCTGGCCGAATATCCTCAAACAAAGCACTACTTATAAATCAGTGCTAATAACTAAACCACGCAAGCACACACACACAAACAAACAAAAGCCATAAGTAGTAAATCCTACTTTCAATAATCCACTAAAATCTATCATAAAACAGCAATAGAAAGGTGAATTAACTTACCTAGAGAAAAGTATATCGCTGTTTTACAATCGACTAGTACTGTTAGCAGTAGCAACACCCGGACAACCACAACCACCTCCACGAATTGCATCGAAAGCTACACCGAAGAGTACGTCATCATCATCATCATCAGCAACAGCATTAATATTGATAGTAGTAGAATCCTTACCGGTAAACGCCATCATTCTTATCATTTCATTAGGGCAAACATTTTGTGTAGGTGTGTTGTATGTTGAAGCAGAAGAACAAGAAAATGGTATCGGAGATGAATTTGACGCATGGGAAAGATTAAATATCCCGCTAGACAGACCAATAGTAGTGGATGCATCAACAGACATTGATTGGTTTAATCGATTAGTTACAGCATTTGATGATATTGATGTTTCAATTGGCTTGACACTGAAAAAAAATGTTAACAGTTAAAGTATTATTTGAAAGGGTTAGAGATTATGACACGGCATCAGTATTTTTGAAGTTGTGAACTACTAGTTACTAGTTTCAGTCGCATAAGCAGACGATTTGTTCATTTATACGGAACCAAGACACTCTAATAAATACTTAGACTTTAATTCCCCACATCCAGAATCAGTAAAGACTATTATTATTATTATTATTATTCAAGTAACGGTTTGTAGTGATTTGGTTGATTGGTTACAGGATTTCATCGTGAGCTGACATTGGTTAGAAAACCATTGGAAAACCTGGGGGTACTGAACAGCTGTTTCGTCCTAGTTTTGGACTCTTCATCAGTACGCATCCACCGGGGTTCTAACCCAGGACCTTCTGGTTACAAGGCTAGCGAGCTCGTAGACCATTAAGCCACTGGGACCTGTTTCATTGGGTTCCGGGTGGAACATAGAATTTCAACAGCACGAATACATTTCGTTCTATTTTCTGTGATCATCTTTAGCCGGTCCCACAGTTGATTATCATCCCTGATCTCCTCGTCACACGATCTCCTTTATATTACCAATGAAGCGACGCCCCACTTGTTGTTTCCCATTCAAGTTCTACTCGAGCGATGGTCTGGTGCACGATGTCATTCGACGGTCTCCCTAGTGGAGTGTGTCGAATTCATCTCCACTTTCTTCGGGATATTTGTTGGGCAACAGGTTCATGGTTGGTTTGCTCCCAGAGTTCTTTATGGCGATTAGATCCCCAATATGGAGAGAAGGCAATTGTTGATAAAAGTCTGCACTGGCCTGTTGGAAATGCGTTTTGTTACGCGTTCACCAAGTTTCTAACCCATACGAAAGAATTGACATAACATTCAAGTATTAGTTTGTAGGGATCTGGTGCTCGGGAAGCCAAACACGAGAGAACCAGGCAGGCTTTAGACCAGGAAGAGGGTGTATTGATCATATCTTCACCCTCCGACAGATTCTAGAACATAGGCATTCCTACCGGCGTCCAACAGTCATTATATTTCTTGACCTAAAGGCAGCATTCGACTCTGTCGATAGAGAAGTTCTCTGGAGATGCTTGGCTGTAAAGGGAATTCCAAGAAAATATATTGCACTGATTAAGGCACTCTACTCGTACTCATACAGCCAGGTGAGGGCTTACGGCGAGCTGTCATCTGAACTGATGACGACCAGTGGTGTCCGTCAAGGATGCCCATTATCTCCTTTTCTATTCAACTTCATCATAGATGTGTTAATGGACTTAACCCTAGGTGACTTCAGTGACTCAGGAATTGACTTGCTACCGGGGAATAATCTCGTTGACTTGGAATATGCAGACGATATAGTCCTTCTAGGCGAAGACGCTGACGAAATGCAGAGTCTTCTAAACACCTTGAGCCGCAATCTACGAATGTTTGGCATGCGATTCGCTCCCGCCAAATGCAAGATGATGTTACAGGACTGGACTACATCGACGCCTAGTTTAAAAATAGGAAGTGAAGTGGTAGAGCACGTTGACCGCTTCACTTATTTGGGAAGTACCATCAGCCTCAACGGGCTGATCTCTGACGAAATCTCAGCACGAATACAAGGGGCTCGTTTCGCATTTGTTAGTTTACGCCGACTCTGGCGTAGACGAGATGTTCGACTATCGACCAAAGGGCGGGTGTACTGCTCATCAGTCCGCTCCGTCCTCCTTTATGGTTGTGAGACCTGGCCACTGAGAGTGGAAGACATGAAAAGACTAGCTGTCTTTGATCATAGGTGCCTGCGCTCTATTTCCCGTGTAAAGTGGCATAATAAGGTGAGCAACATGGAGGTTAGGCGTAGAGTTCTAGGTAAACAGGGGAAATCAATCGACGAAGTCGTGAAGCTACAAAGACTGAGATGGTTAGGACATGTGTTACGTATGCCAAGCCATCGCCTCCCTCGACGAGCTATGTTAGCGGATATAGGGTCAGGCTGGAAAAAAGCTAGCGGCGGTCAAACAAAAACTTGGCATCAGTCAATGAAATCCACAACAGTTGGTCTAAGCCACGTAGAAAGGTGTAGACTTCCAGGCTGGGGTCCTCGGGACGGTAAAAATCTATGGTTGGAAACAATTGGTGACATGGCTCAAAACCGTTCTCAGTGGCGCAGATGCATCCACTCCCTGTGACTTATGATCTTCAATGAAACTGTTTTGTATTTCTTTATTACTCCTTTGTCTCACACCTCTGCTCACTGTTTCTATTATGCTTTTCTTGTACTTTCTTCTCTTGCTTCGCGTGCTACACGGAATGTGGCGACTTGAACTTCCGCACATTTGTGCAAAGTTCTATGTCGAAAACAGACAGACAGACAGACGATTGATTGTTTACGGGATTTCATAATGAGCTGGCATTTGTTAGAGAACCTAGATTGAGACTCTTCAGGGACTCGCCTTGTAACCGGAAGGTCCTGGGTTCGAACATTCATCGGTGGGTGCGTACTCCTAAGGAGTCCCAAACTAGGACGAAACAGCTGCCCAGTATTCCTTGAGGGTTTTCCAATGGTTCTCCAACTAATGTCAGCTCATGATGAAATCCTGTGACATAACATTGTTCGATAAAGATAGGTTTAGTTAACTGTCTGAATAATCGGGCCAGAAGCCAAACTAGTAAGTCAGAAAATTCAAATAATGAAATCGAACAAATAAAGAAAATGTTACTAGTGAAGAACTACCCATTAGAATTTATACAGAAATGTATGAGGAACCATAGAAAAATAAGATTAGCAATGGAAATTTAAAAGAATAAGGGAGAAAACAATGGAGAATTCAAAGCCTCTGTAGTAGTGTCTGTCTGAAAGCTGTCTGTAAGCCAAAAACTTGTAGACAACAATTTACGTCAATGTTTACGTCCCGAATCAGGGGGGGGCATGAGAAGAAAACAATAACAAAACTTAATCTTGAGAAAATCACCAACCAATCACAACAGCCGAGTTAAAGTGTGGCGATGTGATTCACAGGTATATATGGCTTGATATTTTAAGAAACGGCCACAAAGAGATAACAGAATAACCTCTGAGCAAGAAAGCAATCAATCAGAAGAGGATGCTTTTCCGCTAACAATAACGCTAATAATAATGCACATAAAAATCTATAAACACCTTTTGATTTTCTCAATAAACGATCTGTGTGCCTAACCTTGTCTTCTGTCGTTACAATAGTACTGCCGTATAAAGAAGCAACATACATTAGAGGCCTTACGCAGAATTCTCCATGAAGTTGACATTTAAACCAACCAACTTTCTCAGAGATTAACTTTGTCAGCTTAAGGACCGATAAGATCCAATTGGGGAAAGTAATACAATTTACAAAATACCATGTAATGACTGTGAAATCAATTACATAGGACAAACTATTAGATCGGGGTCATTTAGATTATCGGAACATAAAAATTTTAGTTAAACCTAGAACTGGCCATTGGATCGGTTCTCAGTGGCTTAATGGTTTACCAATCCGTCTCGTAACCTGAGGGTCCTGTCTCTAGACCCCGGTGGGTACACACCGACGGACAGTCCCAGACTAGGATGACGAAACTCCTGGCTGTCCAGTACTCCTACGCTTTACAATAGTTCTCTAACCGATGTCAGCTCATGATGAAATCCTGTAACCAATCAAAAAATGTAAACTTTCTAGTCATTATATTTATCAAGTTATATTTTGATGTTCCACTAACTACCAATGACATTTTAGTCGTAATCTTTAAAGCCTACTGGTTTGTCAACAATGAGGCTGAATGACGAAGTGATTATCTTACAACTCGATCATTCCGGGTTCAACTTATCGTATGCTAAAAAATGATCGCACAGAATGAAGAGAGAAACAGTCAGCCAATTCATTTTCGTTTTGAATAGTCCACCGAGTGACTTCTCTTCATGCTACCACCAGACTCCCCATTATTATCAACAGTGTACCTGGTTTCTTTGGGTTCCGACAGGCGAATCAGCCCAAATTACCTGAATTCGGCTAGCAAGCAATACAGGTTGATGCCACAGTAGTATCCAATAAGTCACACTAATTACAGGATTTCATCATGAGCTGACATCGATTAGAGAGAGAACCACTGTGAGACATGAGATTAGTTGCCTGAGTTCTAGTGGGAAGTCGTGACCAGTGGGATGGAGCAGGTCGGGTGTCAGGATAAATACTCTCCAGCAATGATACTGACTAGTCCCAATCGCGCTATATCGTGCGTAAATTGGCAGAAGTTGGAATTCATGGACTGGCCATTCAGTCTGGTCCCATTGGCTGAATGGTCTACGAACTGGCTTGCCTTGTGACAGGAAGGCATTAGGTTCGAACTCCGGCAGTGAAGTGGGTGCATAATGGTGAAAAGTCTTAAACTAGGCTGGTGAAACAGCTGTCCAGTACTCCAGTGTTGGTTTTCCAATGGTTCTATAACCGACATCAGCTTATGATGAAATCCTGTGATCAATCAAATCTCTGTATATTTACCAAACACTTGAACGGGATTCTCTATATTCGTTTCTGCCTAAAATAAAACCAACTTTATTGAGAACACAGTGTGTTTTGCCTTACTGGACTTAGAAAGAAGGTTTTTCTAAACGTCAAAACAATTTAACACTAATGGGATTAGAATATATTAACTAACCAGCTACCTGATTTACCAAATAAACCTACCTTGGAAGTATACCGCCGATATCTGTAGGTTTTACTGAAGGATTACTGCATGCAATCGAATCAAATGATTTTGAGGTTTGATTTAAAGATGCTAAACTTTGTGCATGACGTATAGTTGATGGAAATGACTTTAAAAGTGATGATGTATCACTTGGACACCGACGATGTCCACCACCACCACCAGACAACTAGATAGAATAGAAAAAGGAGCGAGGGGAAGAAATGAAAATTTTCAGGCAAATAGAAATATAAAAGTTTACAACGAATTACATTTTAACTTTTAAATTTTTGAATTTCTTCGAGGCGGCCTGTTTAAATTCTCACTGGGATACCAAAATTTCTGTCCATTAAAATACCTAAACTATTGAATATTTCTTGTCGTTTGAATCACGCGGTTACATAAAAATAATCAATACATAAAATCGCGCGCATATTTAATTACTTTTCAACTAAAACGCTGTGCAACTCTTGAAGTAAATAAAGAAGAAAGCTCACAGAATTGGTTTTTCATTCATGTGCAACAATACTACGTCATATGGTATACTTCAAATCATTAATTTAATATGTAAGCCCTGTATTTTATTTAATAACATTTTTTCCTTTACGTTCCCAGGGGAACACACTGGGCTTCAAGCTAGAGCTTTGAAGTTTCAGTGGCAGTGGTTTTTTTTTAATTCTTACAGGGTTCCTAGCCTCAAACTAGACCTTCCATCTCTACCGGCCTAGCCACCAACTAAGCATCATTCGAAGATCGATCCCCGGACCACGTGAGGCGTGTTTGGCGAGTTTTCTACTGCTGAACTACTAAGTCACAAGATAAATCCTGTATAAAAAGGAAATATTTTGGAATTAAATACGCTGAACACTTCTGTAATAATATATGTTCACATATTACCGAGAATAAAGCTTTATTATATTATAAATATTATTAAGTGAAACTAACCAATCAAAATTAAGTATACACTAAAGGCGTTTCGCCGAACTGTCCAATCAAATCACAGTTAGATGTATTAACGGTAAATAATAGTTTTCTTCTATAATTTCACACAACTTAGAGAGGCTGTATTGCACATTTCCTGTAAACAAAAAGTTTCATGGTTCATCGGTGGTTCATTGGTAGAAATACCCACTAACCAATCACGCAGATAGTCTGTGGTTCTATCCCCAGCCGACACACACCTTAGCCTCACCTAGCTGGCAGTAAGCCTGATAAAAAAAAATTAAACACCACTGCTAATGAAACTTCAAAGCTCAAGCTTGAAGCCCACTTTATATTCCACAGGGAATGCCAAGCAATGAAAAACAGTTTCACTGGAAAGTATTTGTTGAAGTTATTTGACAACTAGAATTGATATACTTTGTCTAAAATTTCATTTTAATGTTAGTATTTTGGACTTTAGTGTGCATCGGTGGAATAGCGGTTAAGATGTTCGCCGACCATGCACATTGTCCGGGGTTCGATTTCCTGCCGAGGCAATCCTTTACTTCTCCAAGCCAGAAATAATGCTGGTAAAGAGGAAAGGTTGGGCATGAGGCTAGCAACCCCATCCTGTAAAATAAACACTGCTACAGAAACTTTAAGCCACTAGCTTGAAGCCCTATGTTCCACTGGGGAACGTGAAGGAAGAAAATTTGAACTTCTAGGACTCTTCAGTAGCGCACACTCAAGACCTCCATACGAACATGCAGATTATTGTTTGGTGGCCATAGCACAAATCCACAGAAATTAGAGTTCAAGGATCAACGGATCCAAACACAGTGGTTAAATGGTCAGCTAGCTTACTTCAAAACTCAAAGAAAGAACCTAGGTTCGATGACCCGTAAGATCAATGGTAGACCACTGGCTAGTGGTCGCGCTAGATAGTGAACTGGTAGAAGCTAGGATTCCTTGGATGGCTATTGGGTCGGATCCCAGTGACTGAATGGTCTACCAGCTCGTCCTGTAACCTGAAGGCCCTGAGTTCGAACTACGGTGGGGTGGGTACGTGCATTGGAAGAGTTCCAAACTAAGACGAAACAGCTGTCCAGTATTCCTACGTTTTCCAATGGTTCTCTAACTAATGTCAACTCGTGATCGAACCTGTAAACACCAGTCAAATCCCTGTAGACCAACAAGTAAATGAGTTAATATGATGTACTGTCACCGAGTGAAAGATCAATTTAAATTCTGACTACCCTGTTCATTCCACCTTTAGTATTACGTAACCTTTAAAATTTCATCTAATTATTTATTTATTGAATTGTCTACATATACACATACAAATTACTACCTTCGTTATTCGTCTCCCAACCGATAGCCACCTTGACGTGGTGGTCAGGCTTGCATATCGCGATGACCCAACAAGCTACACTGGCTGGAACCAATGTTTCTGCAGGTCCTACCATGCCAGGAAGGGTTTTTAGGATAGCGATTAGACTAAAAGCAGTTACCGGAATTGTGTAAGAATCTTTCTTACAATTTGCTGGGGGTCTGAGGACGAAGTCGTACTGCTGGGGAACAGGAGTGTAACAGCAGTGGAGTGTTTCCCTCAGATGACCAGCATGCCGGCCAGCTTTACTGTCTCTTCACTCCGGAGAGAGGGGGTTAGAAAAGGTCGACGCCAAAAATTATACATCCCGACTTACCCCACCTGCGGTGGTCCATAACCGGCGATAAGTTTACTAATACGGAACCAAACCCAGAAACCAATTCATATAGGCCGTGTGTGACCGGCCTCAAGCAGTTGTCCCCTGGGCTCTGCGGTCACGTAACACTCTTTCTGTTTCAGGTACCCGAAGAATCAATCAACTTCCATGGTGTGGGCAGCCGGGAAGTAACAACCGCTCACACACACTTCCAAAAGCACACGAAGCCTTCCTGAGCATCATTCTCCTTTACTCGTCTCGTTATTCTTCTTATCGCCCCCCCCCCCCTGTAAAAACCTTATTATCATTATAATCATCGTTATTACTGACGTTCAAAACACCTACCATACTATTATTATTATTATTATTACTTGATCCACAAAATCATCGTCATAGGTAAAGTCTTGTTTTATATATAAAGATCTCTGTAAATTAAAATAAAGCCTGAAGAAGATCTAACTGAAAACAGCAATATTATTCGCCTATATGTCTTGTTCTAATATGAATAGTGGGAATATTTAAAGACGATGTTACACCAACTAACTAAGAACAGCTCCACTGAACATTCCTATTAAGTGAGGTTAGGTGTCAAACTTCCTAGTCAAAAACGATGAAAGTCCACCACTTCTGTATGCCATTATATTACAGCTACACTCAATGAAGATGAAATATGTCAGTCCCATAGACAGAAATCTACTTTTCTAATTATTAATAAGTACACAGAGAATTACCATCATCACAGAGGGTATTGGCTTGAAAGTACTCAATTCTCAACCAATTGGCCCTGGGTTCAACTCCAGCTCCACTTTAGCCTGTGGAACTATGTAGTATTAGTAGTAGTAATAGCACATCGCCCACTCTAACTGACCTCATACATAAGAAATCTGTTCCGAGGAAAGGAGATATAACAACAATAACAACAGTGATTCTATAAATTCCTTAAATTAATCCCAGCATATTTAAGAAAACATGCAAAACAAGATTGCTTCTGAACGTTTCACTGTGTAAGTCACAGCTTCTTCTTCAACAGAAATCGTTATCCGGAAAAGCTACTAGATAATATTATCAGTTAAAAAGGAGCATAAGGGAAAACAAGAAAAAATTGAAAAATCTTACTTGGCTATCAATGATAGCCATTCCGCACCGAAAAGACACAGTTGAACAAATTCAAAGACCATTTGCTTTATATAATAATATTAAAGTCTATTTCAAGCCCTCTCATTCTCTAGAGTAAGCTTTGGTGAATTATCAAAGATATGGTTCTCAAAATGTTACAAAGTAATTGTGTCTATAGGATAAAGCGTTCAGAATGTGATGCATGCTATATAGGGGAGAGCAGTAGGCAGGTGAGAAGGTCAGAGTGAATGAACATAGACTGGCTGCGCCCCAAACGTCCACCTAGAAATGATGAAGTAGAATTAAAAAGTCTAGAAAAAAGATCGGCTATAGCAATGCATGCGATAGACAGCGGACATAAGATTGATTTCGACAATATCGTAATTCTTGGAGGAGGATTTCATTCACATTAAAGAAAGATTGACCCCTGAAGCCTTGCACATTTTAACCACATCGAATGCAGTAAATAGGAAACTCTAATGGAGCAAGACAGATATAAAAAAAACCTCTATGAACCTCCATGACCTTTTAAAACATGTACTATCATGTTTATCACATGTGAACTGACGTGTTTTCCATATGACTCACACACAGACACTCATACAGAAAAATGTACACAATAATAATTTGACATTAGTTATTACAAATATATGCGATGACTGCTTACATATTTCTACTGGTACAAATGTCTACAGACAAGTGACCACCTTCAAAAGAACTGACTTCAATTTATGTCATTTTTTCTAACTATATATTTTGGTAATTAAATTGTTGATGGTGGCTAGCAGTGGAAACCAGGATAACGCGGATTTCGTCCTATTTAGGACTTGTAAGCCACTGGATGTACCTGCATTCCCCAGCGAGTGATGATGTTCCAACCGAGGCTCAAACCCAGTGCCCATAGTTTCAAACGAGTCCCAAATAGAACGAAATGCGCCATATCCTGGATTCCACTGCTAGCCACCAACCACAAATTAAATTCTAATTAAATGCCTAGACATCGTCGAAGCATCTGCATAAGAAGCTAACATGTCAATCTGAGACCGAGCACTTCGGTCCAATCAATCCATGGACGGGAAAATCTCAAATTCAATTAAAATATATATTTTGGTGATTCATAAAATCCGAATAATTCTGCTTAAAAAGCTGTGACTTACACAGCAAAATGCTCAGAAAAGTCCTGTTTTAATTTCTTCTCAAACATGCTGGTATTAATTTAAGTATTAATTTATAATGAATCAATCTGACTCGGCGCTCAAATTATTCCAGGAAGCTGGTAACATCTACGGTCTGGAAACTTATAACAGTGAATATAGGCATGACAAAATGACAATTACCGATGTTTCCTGTCCATAAGAATAAGGATTCATTGTCTCCGATGAATTGGTTATCTGACTGGCTTGTCCAAAACCGGAACTTTGAGTTCGTTGATGACTACCACCACCACCAGCGGCAACGGGAGCAGTAGCAGCAGTGTCCCATTTTATAGGCATTTCATTTGACTGATTGTTGAAGTGATTATTAGAAAACTCAACTGGCCAATTTAACTAAGGAAAATAAAAGAATTAAAAGATAAAAAGCACACATTGAATCTTCTACAATAAGAGTATAACTTGGCTGAATTGAAAATCCTGTGTACAGGTCAAGTTCAATATTGGCGATTTGGGAGTGCGAATATATCAGCAATCTTGAATGCACCTACGGTGTGTTGAATATGAGTGCTGTTCACAAAATTCTGAAATAAATTTCATTCGGATTTCGCTTTCCAGTATTGATTGGATAATGGTTTGATAGAACAGACACTTAATTGTTCTTGTGGAAGTGCTACGTACATATCGAACGGTGCTCAGAGACTAGTGAGCAGGCTGCAGTAGAAAAATTAGTGTTAGAAACGGTATGCTCATGCCAAATATCCAGGTCGCAAAGATGCTGGACCTATCGCTGGTTTCAGAAGACTAAGTCCAATGCGCAGAATAACAGAAAACGGTAGGTTAATACAAGCGTTTATTCACCCACCGATAACGAAACGGATTTACAATTATTACCAGGTGCAAAGTTTGTATTATTTTTTTCAAATTCCTTTACGTTCCCGGCGGCAACAGTCCAGTACTCTCCAGCGCTGGTTTTCAATGGTTTTGTAACTGATATCAATCCGTGGTTATTTTCGAAAAACAAATCAAGTCCTTACAAATCAACATTGGAAAACACATAAGTATAAAACTCGGGCACTGTGGTAGAGTATAACTCCATTATAGATAAAATTTTATTTTGATAAGTTACACAGTGCTATTATACCGTAATATTAACTGGTGACGTTTCGAGCACAAATTATTGCTAATAATCATATCAAGGCACTACTCACACAACTTTTTTCCTTCATTTATATACATGTGTGGAATCGATTAGATATTGGAATAAAAATCAATATAGGATAATGTACATTCAGAAACAATAGTAAAATGAGTGTTATTGATCAATTACAATCAGATGGGAAATAAGACGAGTGTTTTTATAGTCATAATAAGTAACTTGTTAGAATGTTGTGATGTGCTTGAATTGAAACAGAATTTTGAGAATATTTCTTATCCTCTTCTGATTTGACTGGTGGTAATATTATCTTCCGTATCTCTGGTATATGCACAGAGTCATTTCTGTTGCATGTGTTGGGTGTAGAGCCAATGAACCAGGATTTAGTAATCGATCTCTCTCGCTCTCCACCTACATAGATTACGTTTTAGAATCTTAACCCTTTCCCACCCTATTGTGTGGTTGTGTGTTAATGCGTACAGTGCAATTGCTGAGGCTTTTTCTATATTACTTATCTTTGTGGGATCAATCATTCTAATCTTAGCCACTAAATTCCTATATTCTGATAATCTCACTACTCCTGATCTATTACTTTGACCTATGTAGTTGACTTAACCCAGAGTCATTGTAAGGTATTTTGTAAATTATATTATTTTGTTTAATTGGGTCCACCGGGTCTTTTAGCCTACAGAGCTTGTCTCTGAGGGAGTTTGTAGGTTTGAATGCCACTCTACTTCCTGCTTTATTAAAAATCCTACGGAGAGGGTCTCAGATTTCCCCCCTCCTTATATGGTATTACTGTGTAACACTGTGTGAGTTATCAAAATAAAATCTTAAGCATAATGGGTTTGAAAACACAACTAGTAGTCACACCAGAAGTCATTAAAATTGAAGGAAGGAAACAAATGAGAGAAGGAACTTCAACAGAACTTACATTTGTTGATGGTGGACTAAAAGCCTCATGAAATCTTGTATTTGTAGTAGGAGGCATTACACTGGAATCTGGTAAGTCAGTAAAATTAGCTACAATACCAGTAGATGAAGTATGATTATTATTACTGACAGGTAAACAAGTTGGCGGTTTCACAAATATTGGGTTGACAGTAGACGATGATATTGGAGCATGTGGGAAAGAAGAAGGAGGATGTGGCGGCAATGGCGGCGCCGGCGGCGGCGGCAGAGGATGATGACTAGAGCAATTTGGTCGAGGTCTTTCTCTTGGAACTACTGATGTATTGGTAATACACTGATTCGGTTGTTGTTGCTGATGTGGATGGCTCTGATCTACAACAGATGAAGTTGACTGCTTCTGATCAGGTGAGGATTTGTTTCGACTCCTGGATGATGATGACGATGATGGTGATAATGATCTATAAAAGGGAATATGAGTTAAACAGTGATCAATAATTTTGAATACTTATTTTATTTATTTAAACGCAGAAAAAACTTGGTACAATATGGCACCAAGAAAGATGCGCCACACAATAATAATAAAACAACATAGATCAAAAGTTTAAAAGAAATATGTAAGTAGAGAACGGATAGAGAACATCATCTGGAAGGAAAACAGTCATGCTTAACAACTTCAAACAGAATTCATTAACTATCATCGGAAAGGGAATAAATAGGGAAACTGCAACACATTCGCCATTGATTACGATTCTTGGCCATATCCGATAACGTTTCGAGCCATCGATTCGAGCTATCTCGCGCACCATAACCAGGGAGTCGTGACGCACCAACCGATGCTAATCTGGCACAAAAATCCTTCATCCCACGATGCCACGTCATGGATTGACCATCTCTCCGCCTTTTCCATCCCGTCCCAGGGCTGAGCTAGCGAAAAGAGATCCGTACGGAAGCCTCTGGGGTGACATTTGCAGCACATGTCAAAGCCACCGGAGCTGGTGTTTCCAGATGACGACACTCAATGAATGGTGATCTCCACTGTGTTCAAACACACGCCGCCGCCGAACCTCAGAATTACTCACGCGATGATACCATCCATCGAAGGCAAGCAATCCTGCGGAGACAGCGATGATCGAACACACAGAGTCGCCGCCGCACATCCTCAGCCTACTCGGAGAGGCCAGGTTTCACAGGCATAGAGCAAGACAGCCCGCCCGCACCGAAGCACTGTATACCCGACCTTTGACAGCCAGGCTAACGTCGCGACGGCGCCAGAGGTGGCTGAAGTTGGTGTATGCCACCCTAGCCTTCACTATACGGTTGGAAATCTCATCCGTCACCTCTCCGCTAGCACTCACACAACTACCCAGGTACACAAACTTATCAACAACTTCAAGCGGTTCACTTGCAAGCAAGAGTGAGTGCAGGTACAGGCTCCTGTTAATCTTGTAACAGTACTTTGCACTTAGACGGCGCAAAGTACATACCATACTTACAGACACTGATCGCCAACTGATTAAGTGCGATTTGAGCGGCCTGCATACTACCGCACAGTAAGACGATATCCTCTGCATACTTGAGGTCAAAAAGTCTATCTCCAGGTAATAAATCTACACCACCTTCACGCATATTCTTCAGAGCTGACTTCAGAATGTCATTTGACTTTGAATACTACTACAAATTAAAAATTATAATGACCAAAAACATAAAATCTCAACATGTTTTTTAATCATTCCTTCGGTTTTGAGTGGAACACATAGAGGCGTGGAGCTTTCAAATCTCCGTAGTGATGATTTTATGCTTTTTTTTTCCTTTCATCACAGAGCGAGATTGCTAATCTTAGACACACAACCTCCCAAACTTACTATTGACTGGTTAACAAGGATAGGTTTAGGAATGTCTCTAAACTATCTGTTTAACTGGATCAGCCTAACGAACATAGTCTCTAAAATCCTAGGCTCAGTAATCATGCATAGACTAAGCAGAACTCGGGAGGAACAGACAAGGGAAAATCAAGCAGGCTTTAGACCAGGTAGAGGGTGCATAGATCATATCTTCACTCTTCGACAGATTCTAGAACATAGACACACTTTTCGGCGTCCAACAATTGTCATATTTCTTGACTTGAAGGCGGCCTTCGACTCCGTGGATCGAAAGGTACTATGGCAATGTCTGACTGTGAAGGGAGTGCCAAGAAAGTACATTGCACTAATCAAGGCACTCTATTCAAACTCACGTAGTCGTGTAAGGGCTTATGGGGAATTGTCATCTGAATTGGTAACAACCAGTGGTGTCCGACAGGGATGTCCACTTTCCCCATTTCTGTTTAACTTCATCATAGATATGCTGATGGAAGTATCCTTAACTGAACGTAGTGACTTAGGAATCGACTTGTTACCAGGGAATAATCTTATGGACTTAGAATATGCAGATGACATAGTCCTGTTAGGGGAGGATGCTGACAAAATGCAGAGTCTTCTGAACACCTTGAGCAGCAATCTTCGTATGTTTGGCATGCGATTCGCCCCTGCAAAATGTAAGATGCTGCTACAGGACTGGACCACGTCAACCCCTAACTTAGTGATAGGGAGTGAAGTGATAGAACATGTTGACCACTTCACCTATTTGGGAAGTTGTATTAGCACCAACGGACTGATTGGCGATGAAATCTCAGCACGGATCCGAAAAGCTCGAGCTGCTTTCGCTGACTTACACCATCTCTGGCGTAGGCGTGACATCCCTGGTTATCAACCAAGGGACGTGTGTACTGCTCATCAGTTCGCTCCGTCCTTCTCTATGGCTCTGAAACATGGCCAATACGCGTTGAAGACATGAAAAGGTTGACTGCTTTCGATCATAGATGTCTGCGATCTCTGTCTCACGTTAGGTGGTTTCACAAGGTAAGTAATGTTGACGTTAGGCGTAGAGTGTTGGGCAAAGAGGGAAAATCAATCGACGAGGCTATAAAGTTACATAGACTAAGATGGCTAGGTCACGTGGTGCGCATGCCTAACCACCGCCTCCCCCGACGGGCATTGCTAGCTGATATAGGTGCAGGTTGGAAAAGAGCCAGTGGTGGCCAAACAAAAACATGGCATCAATCCATGAAATCCTTGACAGTTAAACTGAGTCAGGTAGGGAGATGCAGACTCCCGGGTTGGGGCCCTCGGGACTCTAGGAATCAATGGCTGGAGACAATAGGTGACATGGCTCAAAATCGTTGTCAATGACCAGCGCAGATGTATTCAGTCTCTGTAATCTTTCATATTCCTTTCTACCATTACCCATTCTGTTTCACTCTTATACTTGTCAAACTCTATTGATTCTCTTCACTCATCTTCTTGTCTACCTCTGTGTGCTATTTGGAACGTGGCAACTCGAACTGCTGCACTTCGGTGCCAAGTTCTATGTTGAATCCAGACAGACAGACAGACAGTTTAACTGGATAGCATGCAGTAATAAAAATCCAATGAGATGACCGTTTATCCAACCTACATTAAAGTTAAATGTCTGTCCGGTGTATAAATCACGTTTCTGTTCTAAAACTTAAGCAGATTAGAATGCCTTATATATATATATATATATATATATATATAATGATAAACGTAGAGAAAGACCCATCTGATATATATATTCATATTTATGATACCATTACATGCAGATAGATCAATAAATCAATAGTGACCCCAATGAAACAATCAACAATAGGCTAATTATAATTATTGACTAGACGAAAAAGTTCAACGGATTACAAACAGACACACAAATGCACACAAACAAGCACACAAAGAAGAGAGAGAATTTGAAAAAATTGAAAAAGCAGAATGATGTAAAAAGCGAAAGTGATTAATTAAGTTTAACTGAGTATCAATAATAGTAAATAATTAATTAAACATTAACATTAACAGTGTGACCTTTCCTTAATGCATAATCGAATTCACTGACCCAATGTGCATACACATTTATGTGTTTTAGGCTATGAAAAATACTCAACTTATTGACTATTATTGTCTCAGAATTATGCTGCTATATAGAGAAGACAATGAATACATAATCATTATTATTCCCCTTAGTTCCTAGAGGAACATAGGGCTTCAGCCGCACGTCTCCATTGCGTTCTATACTCTGCCAACGTGGGCTCACATGCTTTCATCTACTCTCCACATGATCTCCATGTCACAATTGCACTGATGACCAACTCGCCGCTCCCCATTCGGGTTCCACTGGAACAATCGCCTGGAGTGTGATGTCACTTGATGGTTTTCTCATGGTACGGCCAATCCACCTCCATTTCTTCCTCCATATTCGTTGCAAAATAGGTTCCTTCTAGGTTGGTTCGCCCCCAAAGATCTATTTTGGCTATCTGATCTTGAGTAGTATTGAGCGAAGAAAGCTGTTGATGAAAATCTGTAGTTTGTTCGAAATGCCTTTCGTGACGCGCCAAGTCCTTTGTCTTCTCCTATTTGACGTAGGGGTAGTAGAATTTTCCAGATATCTGGGACAGTTGATAAATCATTCCTGTTACACCTATTCTCTTCAGTTGATTCGATAAGCAAAGCTTCTGTTATCAATCTCTCCCTCCATTCACCCTGTGACATTAGATTTTAAAACTGTCATCCTATCCCATCCTATACTGTATGGTTGTGTGTAATTGCATGCAGTGAGTGCTATAGCTGAACTACTCTCTAGATTTCTTATCTTATTCGGGTCAACCAATCTACATTTAGCTAGGTTTTTATGTTCGGCTAGTCTGACTGCCTCTGTTCTCCTAGTTTGACCTATGTATTTGACCTGACAATCATTGCAGGATATCAGATAAACTAAATTGTTTTTTCTTAACGGCTCCACAGGATTGATCCTTTAACCGACAAAGATTGTTTCTAATTGACTTTGTGGGCAGTTTGAATGCCAGCTACTTTTATTCCAGCCTTGTTAAGAATTCCACGTAAGGTGGTTTCCGAGGTTCCTTCCTTGTATGGAATTACTACTGATGATATAGATTCCTTATTGTTGGTGTTGTCTTGCGCATATTTGACATGCATGTCGTCATTAATATTATTATTATTACCACTATCACTACTATCATTATTTATTTTAATTTTACATTTCCCTACATATTTCCTGACTAATTTATCAGGGTAATTATTAAGTTTCAAGGCTTATGTGCCTCACTTCCTGTCCTTGGTACTACTTAGTTTTTGTGCTCTGGCACTTAAACATTTCACTAATCCTATTTTTACTGACATAGGATGGGATGATCGGAAGTCCAAATATCTGTTTGAATGTCTGGGTTTCCTGTAAACACTAGTGTTTAGCTTCCCATCTTCTTTCCTTTTTACGTTACAATCCAACATTGGAAACTCCCTCTCCTTCCTGACTTTCCAGTTCATAAGTGAATTGAATTGAATCTACCTTCGAGTTGATGTGTTCGAAAAATCTACCTATATCTCTTGTGTTCTGAGTACAGTGAATGTGTCATCCACATACCTACACCATACTTTTGGTGTGGGTGGGGGGTGAACGTTTCAATCGCTATGCTTTCCCACCTATCCATGAATATATCTGCTCCAACGAGGGATATTGGTGATACTATGGCAACTCCCTCAGTTTATTTGTATATTTTCCCTTGGAATTTAAATACTGTGGAAGTCAGGCATAGCTGTACTCCCAGCTAACCTCTTTCTTTTCACACATATACACACACCCATATACCTAAAACTGATGAACCAAAATAGCCACATGATTGATACAACTTTGATACAAAAAATAACTATATCGTGATATATAGGTAGAGCGAATGATTAGGAATTGCTAATTGAAGAAGAAATGTATATCGCTTCGTCAAATTTTTCGTTTTTCGTTTCTTTTCTAAATGCGTAAATGGGAATTTGGAGATAAAAGTCTAGATAATGTTTACGTGTGAAGTAGACATCCCCTTTTAATTTAATAAAACAAAAAATCCGTATTTTTTTTTGCATCCCATCGACTCTAGTTGACACTCAATAAAATACGTCATAGAGGCTTTCTCTGTATGTGTGTCTGTGTGTACGTGCGTGTGAGTGAGTGAGTGAGTGGTGTGTTAATCTCTAAACTAACCTGCATGGCTTACAGACTACCTTTCCTGAAAACTCCATCATGTGAGAATTAAATACAAAAAAAAAAACTAACAGAAGAACAAATTTTAAAAATACTAAATTTTCGGAAAATTTAAAAGTTTCATACCACAAATATGCTCATGAATACGTTTCCTGCTTCGCCTAAGCCAATCAGTTCTTGTGTTTTGTTGCGAATTGACAGAAGTTGGGATTCATGAGTTGGCCGCTGAGTCGTGTCCCAGCAGTGGAATGCTCCACGAGCTGGCTTTCATTGTAACCGGAAAGTTTTAGGTTCAAACTGTTGAAGAGTATCAAACTAAACTGAGGAAACAGAGGCCCAGTATTCCAGTGGTTATTTTCCTATAGTTCCCTAACTAATGTCCGCTCTTTACGAAACCTGTAGACGTGGAATTAATAATCATCACGGCGAACTGGATGGAGGCAATTGATTTCAAAATTACCATTCTGATAATCGTCGGCTCAATCCGTCGGGTATCAAATTACAATGAAACAGCTCTTTTTTTTATTCCTTTGCGATCCGAGTGGAACATTGAGGCCTTCAAGCTAGAGCTTTGAGGTATCAGTAACAGCGGGGTTTTTTTTGTTACAGGGTAGGGTCAATAGCCTTCTCTCTTTGTTGGGCTTATTACCTGCTGAGAGAGATGCAGCGGTGTACGCCGACCGGGAATCGAACTCCAGACTACATAAGGCGTGGTCGGAGAGCATTCTACTGCCGAACCATTGACGCACAAAACAGCTGTCCACTACTACTATTTACCAAGTTGTATAAACACAAAGTATGTTAGTGTTTAATTAAGAAGCCTGTCAAGAATAATTCCCTTTGATTTAATGCATATTACCCTGCCAACACATAATGATTTTGATGCTAGAGAAAGAACGAAACCGACCCGGTATCTAAGGCATAAGCCATCACTCTAAGGGGAATAGGGAATTATGCTCAGGAAGGCTTTGTGTGCTTTTGGAAGTGTGTGGGCGGTTGTTACTCCCCGAATCCCCACACCCTGGAAGTTGGTTGCGTGACTGCAGAGCCCAGGGGACAACTGCTTGAGGCCGGTCACACGCGGTCTGCTTTTGTTTGTTCTTTTTTGTTTGGTATGTCTCAGTAGCATATTTATCACTTCTGCCCTGTGACACGGCAGCAGGAAGCGCTGCTGTTGTTGTTAATCCACGCCCCGACCGATCCGGCATGATATTTTGTGATTTTGTTTGAGTCATAGTATTGCATTGGATAGCTGCTTTTGTCTAACCGCTATCCAAACAACCTGCCTGGTATGGTAGGACCTCAAGCGACATAAGTCTCAGCCAGTATGGCTTGTTGGATCATTGCGGTGTTCAAGCCCTACCACCACATCAAGGTAGCAGCTTTCGGTCAGGACTCTAAAGGATCGAATTTTAAAAAAAACTTCTTTACTCAACATTAAATGAAAGATACAGAATCGTACAAGAAAAATCGATTGCCCATTCGGGGAAGTTAAAGAATCAACACCCCCAGTAAAGCATGCACCGATGGCCTTGAAAACAACCAGCTACATTTATCGTATGAATTTAATCTGTTCTACCGCTCGAATCGAGTCAAATACCCACTGTACAGGAAATGCGTGAAAAAAAACGTTCGTGGAAACGAAGTTTTCAAGCACTGCTTGGATGTGAGATGAATTGAGAGAGTAGAGATAGTGAAGGACATATATTCCGGTGCATGAATTGTGAAGGATAGTAGGAATATTCTTTCTCAGATCAAAGCCAGGAATGAGAATGCAAACTGATCAATAATCGGTTAGGTGTAATAGTTGATTGTCTCTTGACTCTATTCACATCATAAAGTCACATCATTCTATTGGGTGTCTTAGATCCCCAGCACTGATACTCATACTGTGGTGACAGGTGTCTGCTAGCCAGAAATTGTAGACAACAATTTACGTCAGTGTTTACGTCCCTAATCGGGGTCTTAAGAAAGAAACGATAACAAAGCTTAACCTTGAGGAAATCATCAACCAATCACAGTAGACTTAACGTGTGCAAGTATGATTCACAGATATATGGCCTGACTTTCTAAGAAACGCCCACAAATAGATGACATAATAACCTTCAGCGAGAAAACAGCCAATCAGAAGACATTACCTCTCTGCTAACAATAATGAATAATACTGTACATAAAAATCAATATAATATATATATCTTGATTTTCTAAATAAATGATCTGTTGTCTGACCCTTGTCTTCTGTCGTTAAAATACCAATTGAATAGAAGGATACTGGGGGAGAATTAAAAACATGATAAGAAGTTAAAATGGGTCACAAAGTAACGTCATTTACAGTCACCTAGATGAATATAAATGCAGACAATTTAGTTTGGCTTCTCTACCGAGATGCTGACGAGGAATTAGGACATTTTTAGTAATATATAAAGCTTTTTAACTAACTCACCTATTCGCAGATTTCAACTCTGAAGACATAAGCAGATTACTGGTTGATTTGAGTTGAGATTCTCTTGGCGGTACAGTCAAATCCTTCCAAAGGGGAATTCGAAGGTTCTATATTCAGCCAACACCGATTCCCAGGCAAAAGAAACAAAAAAAAGCAAAAGAGGGGTAAAATTGAATTCATCATTTAAAAAATTACATATTGTGAGATGAGAATACTTCTCAGGTTGTGATTTAGTTGTGTTCTCTGTTTGAGATGGTCAACTGAACTGCGAAGCCTTCATTGTCCCACTTCTAGACGACAACATCGTTTCAACGCAGGTTTTCGCATGAAATGAATTTATTTGAATTCTCTGTTGAATGAAAAAGTTCATTTCATACTAAAAAACCTGAAGCTGAAGCGATGTTGTCTAGCAGCGGAAGAACAAAAACTTCGCGATTAAATCAACCAGTTCAGAATGTTAGCGGATATAGGGTCAGACTGGAAAAAGCTAGCGGCGGTCAAACAAAAACTTGGCATCAGTCATGGAATCCACAACAGTTGGTCTAAGCCACGTAGGAAGGTGTAGACTTCCAGGCTGGGGTCCTCAGGACGGTAAAAATCTATGGTTGGAAACAATTGGTGACATGGCTCAAAACTGTTCACAGTGGCGCAGATGCATCCACTCCCTGTGACTTATGATCTTCAATGAAACTGTTTTGTATTTCTTTATTACTCCTTTGTCTCACACCTCTGCTCACTGTTTCTATATGCTTTTCTTGTACTTTCTTCTCTTGCTTCGCGTGCTACACGGAATGTGGCGACTTGAACTTCCGCACATTTGTGCAAAGTTCTATGTCGAAAACAGACAGACAGACAGATCTGCATCAGCCATCACTGAGAACGATTTTAAGCCATATGACCGATTGTCTCAAGCCGCCGCCACCGCTGGTTCTTACCATCCCGATGACTTCAAGCAGGAAGTCTACACCTTCCTACGTCACTGGCTTAAACTAACTGTTGTGGATTTCATTGACTGACTGATGAAGCCTTGTTATCGTTTGACTAACACTGGCTCTTTTCCAACCTGACCCTATGTCAGTTAACATTATTCATCGGTCAAGGAAGGCTATGGCTAGGCATACGTAACACATATCCTAACCATCTGAGTTGATGTAATTTCACAGCCTTGTCGATTGACTTCCCCTTCCATCAATCTAGCACTAAACGCCTAACCTCACTATTGCTCACTCGATTATACCACCATCGAATACGGGAGATAGAACGCAGGTACCTATGATCAAAGACAACTAGCCAGGCTTTTCACGTCTTCCACTTTCAATGTCAGACAGTAGTGCTTGCTAAGCAAATTAAGGATATCTGAACACAGGACAGCAGTTTCTTTCGTCTACAGCAAAGTTCAACACATAGGTGTAGTCAGATATGTAGACTCATCTTAGACTACAGAATCAGTTCAAACCCATCCAGGTTTTGGTTAGCTTAGCTCCAAAAGAACAGTTATCCTATGTCTAGAACACTTCAATCTACCTAGCAATCACTGATGTTTCTCATGACTGGTTTCTATATCTACTCATTCCAATCAATCAGTAGTATATACCATCTTCCTAAAAATAATGGTAAATTAATTTTTTTTTTAAATAGCAAAGAAATAATAAAGTGTAAAATTTCCAGTTATTGTATTAATCAAGTTATATTTTCATGTTTCAGTTAACGATCAACTACCAATGACATTCTAGTCATAATTTTTCAAGTCTGTCCATCTGTCTGTTTTCAACATAGAACTTTGCAACGATGTGCAGTGATTCAAGTCAAGGACTATATCATTTGCATATTCTAAGTCAATCAGATTATTCTCTGGTGACAAGTCAATCCATGAGTCTCCGAAGTGAGTTAGGGTTAAGTCCGTTGGTACGTCTACGATGAAATTGAATAGAAATGAGGATAATGAGCATCCCTGAAGGACACTACTAGTTGTCACCACTTCAGATGGCAACTCGCCGTAATCTCTCACCTGGCTGACTGCGTGAGTTCGAGTAGAGTGCTTTGATCAGTGCAATGTATTCCCTCGACATTCCCTTCACAGCCAAACATCACCAGAGTACCTCTCTGTCGACAGAAACGAATGCTGCCTTTAGGTCAAGAAATATAGTGATTGTTGGACGACGACAGTAAGTATGCTTATGTTCCAGAATCTGTCGAAGGGTTAAGATATGATCAATACACCCTCTTCTTGGTCTAAAGCCTGCCTGGCTCTCTCGTGTTTGTGCCTCCCGAGCACCAATTAGTCTACGAATGATTATTGAGCCTAAGACCTTAGATACTATGTTAGTCAAGCTAATCCCTCTGTGATTATCACAGGAAGACTTGTCTCCCTTCTTGTATATCGAAATAATCAGTGACTTACACCAACCCGATGGGACTTCCTCTGATACTCAGAAGCCGCCTAGTACCTCAGTTAATGCAGAGAGTAAACTGTCTCCACCGTACTTAAATACCTCTGGAGTCATTCCATCAGGTCCTGCTGCTTTGCCTCGTTTCAGACTAGTGACAGCTTTAGCAACCTCAGTTAGGGACGGAGGACCTGTGTCTATATCCCATTCAACGAGGTGTTGGATGTTCCGTAAGTCTATTGGTACTCAACGATGCGGTTGAATGACAAAGTGATTGTTTCACAACTCGACAATTCCGTATTCGACTCGTCGCATAATAGTGGATGCATGTGAATAAAGAGTCTGAATGTTATAAAAAACATAGCCGACCAATCCGTTTTCGTTCTTTTTTCGAACGGTCCTTCTGACAGCCCATCTGCAACAGTGTGTTGAGGTTTAGACACTACTTTGACCTGGCTAGCAAACACTACTGGTTGATACCTAACTGACTGACTGGTTTCAGCATAGAACTTTGCACAGGGGTATGCATCGGCGGGTTTGAGTTACCACTCACCACGTGGAACACAAAGCAAATCAAGAGAGGTAAAGGCAGATTCAACAAAAGAGAGAGACAACAAATACAAGTGTGAGGAAAATAAGAAGCAGAATATGGAAGAACAATATAGTTTCAGTTGAGTTTGACTGACAAATCACGAGAGAGTGAATGCACATATCAGTCACTGAGAACGATTTTGAGCCATAATATCAATTGTCTCCAGCCAATGGATTTTGCCATCCTGAGGACCCCAACCCGGAGGTCTACACCTGCATACATGGCTAAAACTAACTGTTATGCATTTCATTGACTGACTGATGAAGCTATGTTTTCGTTTGACCACCATAGGCTAGCTCTTTTCTTACCTGATCCATTCTATGCCAGTCAGCTAACATTGCCCATTTTCGAGGGAGGTGTGATCGGAGTCTATACACGTGTTCCAGTAGGAGCGGCAGCCTTCTACTGACCTTCGCCAACGATGCCTCATCGCTATGTGGTCTATTTGACTCCAACGATGATTTGGTGATGGAGGTCGCCAGGTTATACAATGCCTGAAGTTAGTGCTGACTAGGAATAGATGATTATGCGAACAGAACTGTAGAAGACGATAACCGTTGTCACTTCGTCGACAGGAAACTCCGTACTTACCACCTACATACTTCTCAGTCTGGCATAACTTCCCTACTTGGGCTCTAAAGTCGCCTGCTAACACAACTTTATCTGAACGTTTTGATTTTCGCAGCAAACGAGGCAGTTTCTTGTAGAAATCATCCTTTAATTCATTCGAACTGCAGTCTGTTGGAGCGTGAGAAGAAAACGACGGGTGACGCCGTCCTTCCTTCTTTTAACGGACCCGTTCAGACGGACGGCACACGTGCGAATATCTCTGAGATCCAGTCAAGAAGGGATTTTTCTACCCTAACACCCAGTGCTATCCCTACACCTGCGAGTCCTCGCGAGCTAGCTGAAGAGTCTCCTGACACCCTTAAGGTGAATTTCGCAGATTCGTCTTGTTGGACGAGTGGAGTTAAGTGAATGACCACACAACATACACCCATGGCTTGAGATGCCAGAGTTCTGGTTAGTGATGCCTGTTGTCCTGTTCGGCAGAGGGTCCTAACGTTATATGAAGTTGGCGACGTGGCTTTAAGAGGTCATTAGAGGTGTTTCTATGGCTCTCATCGTTATTTGTAGTCAGAATGAAATGAAGATGACTGACTAGTCTGCAGCAGTAGGAAAGCGTCGGTGGCACAGTGGTTAGGACTCTCGCCGACCATGGACAGGGTCCGAGGTTCGAGCCCACGCCGACACACACCTGATATCTATGGTCGGCCTGCGAAATTTGGGCTACCGATATCCATGCTGAAAATTCCATACTTGTACCAAAAATACGGTGTGGAGTCAAGCTGTAATCAAAAATAAAAATAAAAAAAAATGGTGACAGAAATAAAGAAGGAGGATGATCAGCAGGGTTTCGTGTGCTTTTGAAGCGTGTGGGTGGTTGTTACTTCCCGACTGCCCACATCATGGAAGTTTTTTCTTTGCGTACGCGAAACATAAAGGGAATTAGTGTTGAATGACCACAGGGGACAATTGCTTGAGGCCGGTAACATATCACCTGTTTGAACTGATTTGTAGGTTCGGTTCCGTATTAGTAACTTACTACCGCTTACGGACCACCGTAAGTTAAGTGGGGATGTAAAATTTGTGGGTCAACCTATTCCAGCACCGTCTCTCCAGAGTGGAGTGACAGCATGGTCGGCATGCGGGTCATCTGAAGTGTTTCACCTTAGTGTTATTACATCTTTATTCCCCAGCAGTACGACTTTGTCTGCACACCCTCAACATAGTGTAAAAAAATCTTACACTATGCCGGCAACTGCTTTTAGTATAATCACTGGCCTAACAATCTTCCTCCCATGGTAGGACCTGCAGGAACATTAGTTCAAGCCAGTGTAGCATGTTGGGGGTCGTTGCGGTATGTATTCCCCCTCCACCATGTCAAAGTATCCGGCTACCGATCGGGCCATTTTATCCTACATATTCGTTGAACGATAGGTTCTCGGTCGGTTCGTTCATTCCCCAGAGTTTCCTGTTGCTAAGACTTCCTGGCCAGCAATCTGGTCTTTGACCCGTGGTTGAAACAATACCTCCTAGATAACTGAAGAGAGTTGCCTCTTTCAAATTACTTCCGTTGATAGTAGTTGGTGATGTTTTTGTCGCTGTTGGTTGGTTAGTTGGTTGGTCATCTTCATCACCTCCATCTCCTTTATATTCTCCTGTAGTCCTGTATTTGATGCCTTTGTATACAATACATACATATAAACAATACATACAAAACAATCAAGTAGGAATATGTTAAACACAACATACATTTAAATTCTGTGCAGGATTGCTACGATTAGCAAGTGTAAAGGCTAATGCACACACTTGAAATATATCTGGACGTTTAAATGCATCTACACAGAGAATATAACCTGTAAAAGAGAGAAAGAATGACCTTGAAAATGCGATGACTCAGTGAAACAATAAAAGTATCAACAGCCAGTAGGAATTCAGCAATTCAAACAGAGGGAAAAACAAATGGCTCACGCCAGTACGCGATAACTGCTTAAAAATAGTTATTTTGAGGTTTTAGGCAAAACTAGGTGTATGTAACAAGTTAAACCTTAAGCACCACTAATCACCAATGGAGAGCGGCTACATCCTTGAAGTTGAATGGTTCATTCAATGTGTTTTATCTAGATGAGCTGAAGCGGCTATTCCGCTGGTTTCGAGTCAAATGCCTGTACTAACACAGTTGCGTTTGCAATTTGATGAGAATGAAATCTTCCAGTATTCCTTAGATTTCGGGTTGATTAGGATAGAAAGGATTTGTTTATGTAGAGGTGTGATGACTGCAAAAAGCTTCAGCAAGTCTTTTGATGAACATATACATCGTCCTAGGATTTCATCATGAGCTGACATTAGTTAGAGAACCATTGGAAAACCAGCTGGAGTACTCGACAGCTGTTTCGTCAAACTAGTTTGGGACTCTTCAACAGTACGCACCCACCGGGATTCGAACATAGGACCTTCTGGTTACAAGGCGACCTCGTATACCATTAAGCCACCGGGACCCGATCCAATGGCCAGTCCATGAATTCTGACTTCTGCCAATTCACGATATAGCGCGACCGCTAGCCAATGTCTTCGGCGAGTATTCGTCCTCACACCCGACCCGCTGCATCCTACTGGTCACGACTTCCCACTGGAACCCAGGTAACTACCTACCTGGGTCCTGGGTTGGAATCTCGGTGGGTGCGTACTGCTGAAGAGTCCCAAACTAGTTTGACGAAACATCTGTCCAGTACTCCCAGCTGCTTTTCCAATGGTTCTCTAACTAATGTCAGCTCATGATGAAAACCTCCAACCAATCAAATCCCTACAAACCAACCCTTGAATATACATCGTCCATCGTCCCATCTTTCCTTAACCCAGGTGAGTGGAAAGCTTAAAATTCCTTGTCATCCCTTGGATATATTCACCACAAAGTCAACCATTCTAGTGATCTTGTCGATCCTATTACAGGGACCCACATCAATTCTATCGAAGATTTTTGGCGAAGGTTAAAAAACAAGATTAGAGACATTAATGGATTGCAAAACGACGCTATTTATGGATGAATATACGTACAGGATGAGGTGTAGCTTTTCCATTGATACTTTTATACTAAGCTGGGACATGTTTTAGTGCATTTTTTTCATAAATATATGTATTTCAGGTCCACAAATAGCCTCTTTCATGTGATTGGTGCGTTCAAGGTCATTCGCTGATTGGAAGTCTACTGGTGCTTAAAGTTTACCTTTGCCACATCACATCATCTAAGCTAACTGAATTCATTAAGAAAAAATCAATGTATGGAGGAATATGTAAATCAGCGGTTTCTCACGTATTATAATGATAAAAAGTCACATGCAGTTTATAGAAACGACAGTCAGCCATATTTAACTGTGATACTATGATGTCTTACGATACATTTACCTGACTGATTACATATACTATTGTAGATGAGATAGAGGGATTTAAGGTTCACTTGTTTGGGCGCTAAACTTTCTACCTAATGAGTTACAGGCACCAACCTGTCTCTATCTATCTATCTATCTACCGAGGCTTAGGCACTCTGTCACGCAATAGGTGTGGGGTTGAGTAGCATTAGTCAGCAATATCGTAGATGAAACACCGATAGAACTTATTACCTACTGGTCGGAAACTGGTAGCTCTACTTGAACACACACTTTGTTCCGAATAGGCTAAAAAAGGCGAATGTAATATGTAGATATTCACAGATCTCGCTTTTGGCATACTATAATCTGTTTGTTTGTTATTTCGTTTCTTTTTCTATTATACTTGAGGTGAACTCAACACATTACTGTGCAACTTATTCGTTACTACTCAATCACCGAGTTATCGATTTCTTGTCTTTTCTATCAAGTAACTCCTTTTTCTATTATTACAAACACTTTAAAAAAAACTAAGTTGAACCTTTTATTAATATTATTATTATTGTTCCCTTGGGTTCCTAGTGGAACAGAGGGCTTCAACTCCACATCTCCACTTGCTTCACCTGCATCCATGTTAGTCCATACTCTTTCAGCTCCTCTTCACACAATCTCCTCCATGTCACCCTTGCACCGATAACCCACTCTCCGCTTCCCTTTCGGCCTGGTTCCACTCGAGCAATGGCATGACGCTCACGCGATGTCACCCAGCTGCCTCCTCAGTGAGTGTCCGACCCATCTCCACTTTCTCCTGCATATTTGTTGGTTGGAGATTGGTTCTTGTTTTGTTTGTTCCCATAGTTTCTTTCTTGTTGGTGATTCTTTCCGGCCCGCCTGGCCATCTGATCTTCAGTATAGAGCCAGCGAAGACAGTTGTTGGTTGATAAAGGTAGGTCTGCAACAGGCTGTTGGAAATATTGTTTGTCACCCGCCCGACAAGTTTCTGTCTGATCCGTATAGAAGAACTGACTGACTTGACGTTGTTTGTATTGAAAATCCGACTGAATTTTGTTGTTGATGCTGGCTGAGTGACGAAGATTGGTCTTCTAGATTGGTTTCAGGTTGATGAATGTGTTTCTTGCTTCCCCAATTCTCGCTCGATTTGACATCCTCGTCCGTTCCTTCTGTAGGTGTAATAATTCTGCAGATGCGGATGAGTAGAGGAATATAAGATGCGCATTACGTCTTATATTGAGACTCGTCAGCGGGGCATGCCTGAATTCCCCTGTGGGAACACTATTAAGCATTGGGGAATGCATAAGAATTGCACAGCGTCTAGTTAAAAGTTAATTGAATAGCCGTGCGAGTTTATCTAGTGATTGTTTGATATAACTGCAAGGTTTAAACAATTAGAAATGTAGAAGAGCTTGAAAATTCTGATAGATAAAGAGATTCTGGTAGCTCAGTGATTTAAGCAGGTCATCAAAGAAGATCATACTTCTAGGGATCAGTCCTATATTATGCATCACCAGGACGTCAAACAAACTTGACTCAAACCACGATACGGATGTGTGGCTGGTGTCCATCTGACTGACTCCTTATAGCGTCAGTAAGTGCGGCACTCGGCCGCCTCTTTAATCGATCATCCAACCAGATTGAGGAGAGTGCGGCAAAGAGTCACCATTCCCATTCGGTATCCAGGAACTGACTTGTGCTGAGAGGTTAACCATAACTATGTAAGGCGAACCACCACGTCAAGGTAGCAGCTACTTGCCGGCAGCAATCATAGATTAAACTGTTACATTGTGTTGCTGACTGGCAATCAATTCTCATACTCACCATTATGTCAATCAAGGTTAACGATGCTTCCGTCTTTTTGTTTGCTAAACAACGGTTATAAACACAGAAAATGAAACAATCAACAGAAAAGTAGAACAGACAACCAACCAAACAACTTACCAATTAATTTATGTAATCGTTCAGAATACGGTGAACTGTCAGGTAGACTAAAATTACCCGATTGTATCGCCAGCACGCTATCTCCAAATGGTAAATTAAAAAAGCATATACAGTACAAGAGACAGCCTAATGCCCAAATATCAATTTGTGGACCTAATGGGATAGTTGTTGATAGACTGACCATTTCAGGAGCACGATAAGCTAAAGTTGTATACCTATTCAACAGACATAATAAGCAAATAACAGTACCACACTGTAAGTAAAATAATGAGGCTGTGTACAATTCAAAGGTGATATACCAAGTGAAATAATAACTAACAAGTTGAAAAAAGTCGATTCCAAGAATATTTAACGTCAGTAAGCTACAGTTTTTGTATTTTTCACACAATTGATTGTGATCCCGAAATCCACAGAAGAAAAAGTACCTACCTACGCTTATCACCCTCCAATTGTATCTGTGAACTCAATTGCTCTTGTAAAGCCAGTTAGATTGGATGTTGCTTTAGGAATTTAGCCTTTAGTACTCGAGAACATTTACCAGTAGGGAATTCTTGTATCAAGTACGAAAGAGTTTAAGATCATGGCAGAAAAAGAATAAACATTTTCTGCACACACACTTTCGGCTTCGATTGACAAGTCATTAATACCTCGCACAAAATTTAGAGATGTTAAATCCACTTCTAAATCCGGTTTTTTATTATCAATTTTTTAGGTTTTTATGACTTAGACGTCTTTTAAGTCGTTTATTTTGCCTCTCAAAAAATAAATCCCCTTTCACCTACAGACATTTCACAGTGAAGATATTACTTGTTACAGCATGAGCAACGCGACAGTGTACACTCTTTGCACGCCGCTCACAATTTAATTACACTGTCATTATGATTCGGACCTAGGACCAATCGATCGAGACACCAAAGAGTTATCCACTAGGTTTACTAGGACAAGGATTCCACTCATTTTTTTCGAGCAACAGATTCTGTTTTCTCCTTTTAAATTATTATTTTTAATCATTCTCTATTCAGACAGACTGGACATTTTCGACACACACACACACACAGAGGTCGTGCATTAAATGACAAGTCGCTAGTATCTAATTCCATATTAGCTTGTTCATTAGATGTATTACACAGTCAATGAAACAGTATTCTTTACTGGATGACAAGGTTTCGAACAAAATTTATTACTGTCCATAATCATATCGCCAATTATATCCACATGACTTGAGTTTTATAGTTTTCTTTATTCTTTCCTATTTGTCGTCATAGGGGTAGTATAATTTTCCAGATATCTGGGACAGGTGTCGAATCATTCCTATTACACGTGCTCTGTCCAGTTGATTCGATAAACAAAGCTCCCGTTATCAATCTTCCCCACTCGCCACCCTGTTACATTAGATTTTAAAATTGTCATCCTATCCCACCCATCCTACTGTATGGTTGTGTGTAATTGCATGTAGTGAGTGGTATAGCTGAACTATTCTCTAGATTTCCTATCTTATTTGGGTCAACCAATCTAGATTTTGCTAAGTTTTTATGTTCGGCTAGTCTGACTGCCACTGCTCTACTAGTTTGGTACTAATTGGTTTTCCTTGGTACTGCTGCCACTTGGTACTACTTGGTTTTCCTTGGTACTACTTAGTTTTTGTGCAGAACACAGGAACTGATACATATAAAAGAGGCCTTGAAATTTAATAATTACCCTGATAAATTAGTCAGAAAGTATGTAGGGAAATGTAAAGATAAAAATAAAATAAATAGTGATAGTAGTGATAGCCATAATAATCATGACAATAACTGTAATATTAATGACGACATACATGTTAAACATACAGAGGATAATGACAACACCAACAATAAGGAATCTAAATCATCAGTAATAATTCCATACAAGGAAGGAACCTCGGAAACCACCTTACGCAGAATTCTTAACAAGGCAGGAATAAAACTGGCTGGCATTCAAACCACTCACAAACTCAATTAGAAACAATCTTTGTCGGTTAAAGGATCCTGTGGATCCCTGCTGGAATGATTGTCAGGTCAAATACATAGGTCAAACTAGTAGAACATGGGCAGTCAGTCAGACTAGCCGAACATAAAAACCTAGCAGCGAAATGTAGATTAGTTGACCCGAATAAGATAAGAAATCCAGAGCGCAGTTCAGCTATACCCTTCACTACATGCAATTACACATAACCATACAGATTAGGAGGGTGGGATGGGATAAGATGACAGTTTTAAAATCTAATGTCACAGGGTGGTGAGTGGGAAAGATTGATAACAGAAGCTTTATTTATCGAATCAACTGAAGAGAGTACGTGGAGTAGGATTGATTCAACACCTGTCCACCCAGACATCTGGAAAATTCTACTACCCCAACGACGACAAATAGGAGAAGACAAAGAAAACTCTGAAACTCAAATTTCGAAGTCGTGTGATTATAATTGATGGGATGATTATGAACGGTAATAAATTTTGTTCGAAACCTTGTCATCCAGTAAAGAATACTGTTTCACTGACTGTGTGATACATCTAATGAACAAACTAATATGGAATTACTTACTACCACAGTGCCCAAGTTTTACACATGTATTAATATCGCTAGTATCTACATCATGTGTAGGTTTTGGAATCTGACATCTATATGTAAAATTCGCTTTTCCATTGTAAGTTGTTTGAATCATCATTTAGGTGGTGACGGGGGGGCATGTTTTATGCCTCACAAGAAAGTAATTTCCTGTCAACCTTTAAACCTCTCAGGAAAAATGTTAGTTTAGTGTGAGCAACAAGGAAGTGTGAACTCTGTCTCTCTCTCTCTCTTTCCCGAGACACTTCTCTCAGTAACTGAGGTGACAGTACGTTCTCACTGAAAAGAAACTCACATACGCACGTAAATATCGACAAAAAGATAAATGATATTAATAGCATCCCTTTTAATTTAAACAAACAACCAAACCGATAACCCCTCTACCTACCTAGAAATTTCATCTTCACATCTAGCAAGACCATGTACACCAGGATGTAGAACACGTGATGTTGCACTGCCAAAATCACACAGGACAAAATTACTTCGATCATCGATAAGAATATTTTCAACCTATTTTAAAAAAATAAATAATATATATAGATAAATATTAAATTAAAATGTACATCCTGTTGGAGGGAAGATTGAAATACATATATGGAATAGTTCGAACTCATGCAGCCAGATAAAAGCTTACGGAGCGTTTCCGTCTGGAGTGGTGACAACCAGTGGTGTCCGTCAGGGATGACAGCCCACTATCGACATTCGTGTATAATTTCATCATAGATGCATGTGCTAATGGACTTAACCTTAACTGACTTCAGTGAATCAGGGATTGACTGACTTGTTACCAGGAGATGATAGTCTTGTTGACGCAGAATATGAAGATGATATAGTCCTCTCTCCTTGGTGAAGACAGTGACAAAGTAGAGCAGAGATGACATGAGTGACATGGAGGAGATCGTGTGAAGAGGAGTTGAAACAGTATGGACCAACATGGATGCGGGGGAAAAGTATAGCAGAAGGAAGACAGAATCAAGTGGAGACGTGCAGTTGAAACGCTATGTTCCACTAGGAACCCAAAAGAAGAATAACAATAATAATAATCGGCCACAGGAAGCTGTCCACCTTGGGTTTCGTGCTAGTTGGCACTCACCAGTCAGCAAGGCGTATCTGCAACCTTGAAGGAACAAATGTCCCTTCCGGGATTCGAACCCTACAGGAGGTCAGTCGCAAGTCCAAATGCCTCAGTGGTAACGTCTCTGACTCACTGCAGTACTGGGTGACGCGGGTTCGAATCTCAGAAGAGATATGAGTTCCTTCAAGGTGTTTGCAGACACGCCTTGCTGACTGACTGGTGAGTGCCAACTAGCACGAAACCTAGGTGGAAGGCTTTCTGTAACCAATTGCCTCCAACCATCTAATATCATCAAACCAATGTGTACCATGATGCCAAGCCACCTAGAATGTTGGTCACATTGGAAACCTGACTGATAGAATTCAATCCGCACTCAACAAAGGACTAGACAAGTCACACTAGTTACTAGTGTCCAATCAAATTATTTCCTCTTTTGATGGTATACACAAGACCAGGTATCTTTATCACCTGACCACTCCACATTGTCGTACACCAGTCTATTGCCTCACCTCTCAGCAGAGTCCTCAGAACAACTGCGCCTTCACCGTCGGATTCTTGACGGTCACCAACTACTCAACGACAGCCTCGAAGTCCCTCAAGAAGCTCCTTATGTCTCCTTCTTCAAAAGCAACCAAGCCAGAGGAACTTCATTGTCTGGAGGAGGCAACGACACCAAATGTAACGGTAAATGACACAAGACGCTTGGTAATGGAATGTCTACTTGCCGTTTGATAATTACATACATGGGGTAATTATGGACGCCTTATAAGAAAATCGTCATTTGCACAGACCATCCATATTATGCGCTACCAGCTAGCGTTGCTTTGTGTTGTATTCCTGTTTTGCTACAAAACACCAGTTCATTTCGTCACTTTGACGTCAAATCTATTGATTGTTATCTATTGAAATAAAATTATTTTTAAATTTCTCGCTGAGATACAAATTGAATTGTTTTAATTCAATCAAATAAAATTATCAACAGGGAAATTCCAAAAAAAAGACGAAAAATAAAAATTTCAGTAATATATCAAATTAAAGCAATTAAGTAATGACAGACTAGTAGTTGACAAATAGTTTTCAGTCCCCCCCATCCTCCCCAGTCTGGTAATGGAAGGAGAGAAAAAGTAGTCACGAAAAGATAAACGATTATATAATTTGTTATGGATTACGTAAGAGAAACTGGAGACTAAGTGGGAGAGACAAAGTGGGATAGCTAAAAATAGTACTAATAATGATAACAACAGTAGATAGTGCGAAAGACAGAGAAAGAAGTTTGTGGTACTTGCATAGCTTCTACATATTGAGATGTTTTATGAAGACAACCACCAGGATAAAAGGATTAGAAACACAGAATGGTAATACTTTGATGAATGGAGACTAATCAATAACAAGCGTATTCTGTCCAATTGTTTCTTTAGTGCAGACGGTATTCCATCAGTCAAGTTTACAATGTGATCACTATATAACCCAACCCTAACTCTTGCATCCTCCCTATTATTCTCTATTGTTCCCCCTTAGTTTTTCTAGGGCTACTAAAGAAAGACTATACCTTATTACGCAGGATGTTAAAGGTTGTCAATAGGGTAAGCCACAGGGTGCCACTTAACCAGCTTGTTAATATTCTGGTCAACAGGCACATGGACTCATGTGAAAAATAGACTTAATCCATTCTACCTATCTAACTCACACCACTCTCTTCATTCACAACTCTCCCCTTGTATCTCATCAGGCCAGACCAGACCAGAAGCCTATGTAGAAAACTATATGCTCGCTCTAGCAAGTACAGAAACTCAACCATACCCTACTTAGCTCGTGTTCTGTGCGATGAAGAAAGTATTAGGCGTGAAACCTATAACTTATTAAATAGTCAGTAGGACAACTGGATCTCGTCTTTCCAACTCATATCATTTATAGGTACAACGTTTTCTTTCTTTCTCTACTTAAGACATGCTTCTTCGTTCTTTCACACTCTGTATGTCTCCACTTTTTTGTTACCGTTTACGCCAGTAAATATGCTAGCATCCACTTTTCTAACACCTTCAAACACTCTGTTTAATTTTGGCTTTGCTACCGACAAGCCAATATGCTGTTGTGAAAACGAACTGAGATTACCCTTAATCTATGTAGAATTTTATTTACTGTTAATGTACTAACTGGATGCAATGCTGTATGTAGTGAAATGCAGAGAATTCCATTCTGTATCACAAGTACTGTTTTGGAATAAAGCAAATTATTACTATTATTATTATGCATGCCACCAGGTGGCTCGGCATCAGAGTACACTGTAAATTGTTGTTGGACCTACGTTTTCAACTTGTTGGCACTTGTCATCACCATGACGTCGGTGGCACAGTGGTTAGGACTCTCACCGATCATGCACATGGTCCGGGGTTCGAGCCCACGCCGACACACACCTGATATCTATGGTCGGCCTGCGAAATTTGGGCTACCGATATTCAGACTGAAAATTTCACACTTGTACCAAAAATACGACGTGGAATCAAGCCGTAATCAAAATAAATTTTAAAAAATGATGTCGAACCACCTAGTGGTATGGTGGCCATATTGCAAGCCTGACTGATAGAATTCAGTCTGCACTAAACACATGGGAGGACTAGGACACATTAACACAAGTCACCGACTAGATTTCAGATATTCCTGCCTTACTGACCGGTGAGTGTCAACAAGCACGAAACCTAGGGGTCAGGTAGGGCTTCCTGCCCATTACTTCCAACTATCTAATAATGTCAGTGAATGGCAATATCAAAATGACAGAATCATTAAAGAAGAAGACAACCAATTAGCCGGAGACTGACTAGATGTACTTTTGAGCTAATGTATATGTAACTTAACAAATTCTTTGAACTATATGACCTTTTAAGCATCCTGTTTAACTTATCATATTAGTTCTCTTTGCATCTGCCATTCACGCGCGCGCACACACATACGTATGCGCATAGGCTCAAACAGATGAACAGATTAGAGTAGAACCTTAAACAGAAATGCATCAATCTAAAGTGAACCAGATTAGATAGATAAAGGAAAGATAAGAAGAAGAAGAAATCAATAAAGAGTAAGGCGTAAGAAAAATGTTTAAAATGTTGATAATAATAAAAAGAGTGATGAAAAACCACATCTGCAATCAATCAATGAGAATATTTTTTGAATTATTTTTACATAGAGATTCTGATATGGTTATGTTCTCTGAGCTAGCTGGATAGTTAATTTGTGAAGCTTTCATCGCCCTACTTACTAGGCTACATCCTCACTTCAGCGCATACTTCAATTTGAATTGAAGTGAGCTTTTAGATTTCTCCACGAGTTTATTAATCATTTCTCCTGGTGGGTGACCACCTTGAACGTGACTCTTTGGTTGTTTTCGTGTGTTTTCACACCTTCTAGGCGGCTACTTGTGGTATTGGAACTGATTGTTTCTTTGACTTGAACTTTGACCCTTTGTATGTGAAGTTTCTTTCTTATCGGTTGATAAATTTTGTCTATCTCAATGCGTCTATTGATTGATGATCCACTGGAATACCAGGTGGGCTTCTAAAACTTCTCTAGCATTCTTTTTGTTTCCTCTGTCTAATATTTGAAAGTTGGTTGTCCCAGTCGAATTGATGTCCGCGGTGTCCGTCAGATATCACTGCAAGACTCTTCAAACCTTTAGGAATTGACGTACCACACAAGGCAACAAAATCAATTCACTCAGCTCTATGTCAACCAAAAGACTCAACAACGAAAGAAGATAAAACAAACAACATCTACAAAATAAATTGTAACAACTGCGAGAAGCACTACATTGGCTAAAATGGACAATGTCCCCTTCGTCTTCGTATCCACGAAACTTAGGTAGCCGTCAAAAGACATGATATCCACTCCCTCATATCGCCTCACTGCATACAGACAGAAAACCACGGACATCAATTCGACTGGGACAACCAACTTTCAAATATTAGACAGAGGAAACAACAAGAATGCTAGAGAAGTTTTAGAAGCCCACCTGGTATTCCAGTGGATCATCAATCAATAGACGCATTGAGATAGACAAAATTTATCAACCGATAAGAAAGAAACTTCACATACAAAGGGTCAAAGTTCAAGTCAAAGAAACAATCAGTTCCAATACCACAAGTAGCCGCCTAGAAGGTGTGAAAACACACAAAAACAACCAAAAAGTCACGTTCAAGGTGGTCACCCACCAGGAGAGATGATTAATAAACTCGTGGAGAAATCTAAAAGCTCACTTCAATTCAAATTGAAGTATGCGCTGAAAATGTTGCCTAGCAGGGCGATGAAAGCTTAGCAAATTAACTATCCAGCTAGCTCAGAGAACACAACCTCATCAAAATCATCCACCTGAGCTACAAATCCTCTCTATCACATAGAGATTCAATAGCCGTTTCTTTTCTTGACATCAATGACGACCTGAATT